TTGTTTCTTTTTTAGACACAATACCCGAGAGCGTACTTTTTGGAGTTTGAAAATCATTGCTATTTCAGTTTTAGTTTTACTCCCTATCTCAATTTCTCATAAAATATAATATTTTGTTTATAAACTCTTTTTGTTTTCTTTCCATGATTGAGAATAAACAAGATTTTCGATTTTTCCTTCCTTTTATATTGAATATCTTCTATTATAATTCAAGGGTGACTTTTAGTAAAGTAAGATATAGATTTCTTTTCATTTTAATCAAGCGTACTGTGCAGTTTGCAATGGAGCATGCTTGCAAGCATGCGTGATTATGTTGAAAACCGATTATAAATTATTATAATAATTTTACTCGAGCAAAACTATTGAAGTAAAGAAATAAATAACCGTTTTCACACCGTACAATCAAATGGGCAGACAGCTGTTCCAGCGTCCACAGCTGTACCAGTATATACATATCGGCGCGGGGAATACAATTGACGTACGATAAGTATTCATTTATTTTTAACATATCCGAACTGTGTTCGAGTAAATCAATGTTATGGATTCATAATCAACATCCAAAGAAGCATGCTAACAAATTTCTGGCCCTGTGCAAGCTTTACTTCACATGAATTTTGACTGAAAATAACCACACTATCCGATGAGATGCGGTATTTTTAGTTTGAAGTCACAAAAAATTATATTTTCTCGTGATAATTAATCCTTTTTTCATACGATTCGTAAACGTCAACATTTTGTCATTAAATATTCCAAACCATACCTTCAAAAAAGCTTTTCTGTTAAAGTTATAAGGTATTTAAGTTTGAGTGTAATCAAAATTTTAGTAACGTCATCAGCTTTTCGCCTCTTTTTAACGATAACATCGACAGCAATTCATCGGCAAGGATGAATAACGCTGAAAGCTGTTCAAAGAAACAATTTTCAGAGCTTTTGTCCTACAGTCACTAGGAAAAAGTAAAACTTTTTTGTTCATTTAAAATATTACTTTATTCATGATACTTTCTAATTATATTCTTTTTATTATTACTTTCTATCATTTGTTGTATCTTAGCTGAGAGGCCTATATCTCCATTAACCGCACTGTATTTCAATATTGATATTGTTCATATGAATGAATGAGTGAGTGAATGAATGAATGAATTAATTAATAAATGAACGAACGAATGAACAAACGAACGAATGATGCAATATACGTATATGTTAAAACAAATTGTCTGTAGAAAGTATATGAGTTGTAATATTCTAAAAATTACATATTATACATTCATTTTTCTTCCTATGCATGTCCTGTTGTTGTTGTTGTTGTTGTTGTTTTCTATTTCAGAAGGCCACATTGGAAATAAGATATATATGATTGTTATTGTATGTTAATAATGTATAACCTTCTTTAAATAAAGATATTATTTTTATTATTATTATTATTATTATTATTATTATTATTATTATTATTATTATTAGTATTATTATTATTATTATATAAAAAGGTGGCAAGATCTATTAATATGTTTCTGAAATGTTAAATTCAAAGAAAGTAAAGGCAAATTTAACGCTTAATACGAATACTCTGTATTATAACTAAATCCATCAAGTGTTATTATAAATAATGGCATATAGTAGACATGTCCCATGCAGTAAATGGATGTGTAACCCGAGATGTCTGCCATGTAAAATGATTTATTTAAAAAATAAAAATTTGTATAATTTTTAAGAATGGTTATTGCAATTGCACAATACATTAAAACAGATTTTAAGGATAAATAACAACATGTTTTTCCATGCACTTTCATAATTTGGGTTACACAGCCATTCACTGCATAGGACTTGTCCATTATATGAATTATTTATAATAACACTTGATGGATGCCTTCATTTACAAGACTGAATATTAAGCGTTAAATTTGCCTTTGCCTTTTGACTTGAACATTTCATAAACCTATTACAGGAACTCCACTGAGGTTTATAAGCCTAAAAACATGAAATTTTATTTTTTCACATAAAAAAACATGAGCACTAAAACATAAATATTAATAAAATATAACCAAAAAATATAGGAGAAATACATTTGTACATTGAAAATCATATGTTTGTGCTATTCTCAGTCCGATTTGAGTGCAAAGCATTTAAACTCTTTTCAATTTTGGGTCATATTTTCACTTTTATAATATTCTGGAAAAACGGAGCAAGCTAATGATCGGAAATTTTGCATATAAGTTATTAGTATAGATCTACATCAAATGGAGAAATAATCTCAAAAAATTATTTCCAGTCCCGTCATGTCAAAAAAACTTAGTGAAGTCCCTTTAATAGGTTTTGCTACCGTTTTATATTGAAATACAGTGCGGTAAATGGAGATCAAGGTCTCTAACCTAAGATATAACAAATAATAGAAAGTAATAATAAAAAGAATATAATTAGAAAGTATCATGAATAAAGTAATATTCTTAATTAACAAAAAAGTTTTACTCTTTCCTAGTTACTGTAGGACAAAGGCGCTGTTGTAAATACATGTAATTGTTTCTTTGAACAGCTTTCAGCGTTATTCGTTCTTGCCGATAAATTGCTGTCGATGTTATCATTAAAAAGAGGCGAAAAGCTGATGACGTTACTAAAATTTTGATGACACACAAACTTAAATACCTTATAACTTTAACAGAAAAGCTTTTTTGAAGGTATGGTTTGGAACGTTTAATGACGAAATGTTGACGTTAACGAATCGTATGAAAAAAAGATTAATTATCATGAGAAAATATATGTTTTTGTGACTTCAAACTAAAAATACCGCATGTCATCGGATAGTGTGGTTATTTTCAGTCAAAATGCATGTGAAGTAAAGCTTGCACAGGGCCAGAAATTTGTTAGCATGCTCATTTGGATGTTGACTATGAATCCATAACATTGATTTACTCGAATACAGTTGGGATATGTTAAAAATAGATGAATACTTACCGTACGTCAATTGTATTCCCCGCGCCGACATGTATATACTGGTACAGCTGTGGACGCTGGAACAGCTGTCTGCCCATTTGATTGTACGGTGTGGTTTTATCTTGGTGAAAAGAGCTCATGCTAAAAATATCCTAAATAGAAAACTATACAAATTCATTTTAATAGATGTATTGAAGTACATACAACAATAAACGGTACATTCGGCCGAGTTTTAATCCGTGCCAATGAAAATGCGGGATCTATTTACGGGTAGCCAATATTTTTCTAGAGTTCGTTATAAAAGTGTAATTTTCTGTACTTTTAACTAAATTGGGACTTAGAAATGACTTCCTTATAAGCGATAATTCCTTATAACCGTGTTCGCTTTAACCATATATTTTAATATTAAATAAAGAAGGGCAAAATTCGGGCCAAAATAAATTGTTCCCTATAACCGGAAATCGCTATAACCGTGTTCGCTATAAGTGAAGTTTACTGTATGTATCAAGTTTAATGTCATGTTCAAAATGATTTTGCAATTGTTCACGCATTCATATGGATATTCCATCGTAATTATATTGCAAAACCATGGTATATTAGCCGATAAGGCACAGGAGTGTTTATGTTTTACAGAACAGAACAGAAATTTTATTCAAGATTTGTACATGGTACATCATCTTACAATTTGTACAATTTAAATGTACTATACAATAGCCACATGACATTTAATGTATATAAATATAGCTATAGATCTTAACATACATACTGTTAACAATGAAAATATAGATAAAGAATACAACATGAAATATTCTATTTACTTCCTACATAGAGGATTAACCATTCATTATTACATATTATAAGACATGGATGTTCTATTAGCCATAGCATCTCTGATATAGTAAGCCAAGTTACACAATATTTTCTTATTATTACAATTTAACAATTCAATAAATTTGAACATACTTGGTCTAACATAGTAGTATCTCTTAATATATTTTTTACGAATTTCAAGAAAACAGGTACATACTAATATAAAATGGTATTCATCTTCAATATCACGAAGATTACAATATATACAATATCGTTCATTTCTAGGAATTCTGATTACACCATAACGTCCGGTTTGTATCAGTCAATGCATGTGAAGACATACGTATTCTACTTATATAAGTTCTAAGATTTCCTGGTAAAGATCTAAATAATGTTCGTAACCAAACCCACTCTTCAAATTATTATACAATTCAAAACTGGGCTACCATTAATGTCAGAATGCCAGTTTTGTAAAAGTTATCTATTACACGTTGCTTAAATTCGCAGATAAAAGATTTATGACAAACACAACCTTGATTCTCCCATACATCCATAAAAACCATAAGTGTACAACATATCTTTGACATTAGATAACCAATTACGTTTACCACTTGTACAATCATTATAAGACATATGATATATTTCTTTCAAAATAATATTATCAGTTTGTAGCAGCTTTAACCAATATTTTACAATTTTTACATATCTTGTTACAAATAATGGATAACGTCCGAGTTCTCCGTAAACAGCTGCATTACATGTATTTAACCTAACATTTAATATCCTTTTACAAAATCTGAGATGTACTCTTTCTATTTCCTTTGACTTACTGTTACCTCATATTTCAGATGCATAACAAAGAATAGAACCTACAAAAGAATCAAATAACTGGCATAAGATTTTAGGTTTTAAATTGTATTTCTTACAATTAATAAGTTGTTCCCTATAACCGGAAATCGCTATAACCGTGTTCGCTATAAGTGAAGTTTACTGTATATATCAAGTTTAATGTCATGTTCAAAATGATTTTGCAATTGTTCACGCATTCATATGGATATTCCATCGTAATTATATTGCAAAACCATGGTATATTAGCCGATAAGGCACGGGAGTGTTTATGTTTTACAAATACATGTATGTTTATATGATTTTAACACAAAAAAGATATTCTCTGATTTGCACTTTATAATATTTCATCAAAAGTTATGTTAAAATTACGTATGGTTTATGAGAATAGTAATATTTAATTGTTATTGTTATTTCAGGAAACAAGAATAAAATTAGCAGAGCAAAGAAATGGAATCACTGGTTTCTAAACTCTGATGGTACATGTGACGTGGAAACTGTGAACAAGATAGTGTACAAATAATCATTGCACACCAGCCTCATAAAGTGATCTCTTCATGTATACAGTCGGACAAATAGGACAAATTCTAAATTGTTAATTGTCGACCAAATAACCAATACAACCTGGGATGTAGATCATATTATTTTCCTGTCAGTAGAATTTTTTCTGCCAAAAGATCAACTCCGGATAATTTGTTGACAACTCCGGATAATTTGTTGACCAAGTAAATGATCAACAGTAAATTGTCGACTTAAACGATCAATAAGTTGTCAGCGAAACGATCAAGAAATTGGTTACCAAATGGTAATTTTCTAATAAATGATAATGAAATTGGACGGAATTTTAAATAAATTGAGAGCTTGTCGACAAAATTACGAACGCTTTAGTGTTTATAATCCGAGCGATGTGGTTGAATGCAAATAGGAAACTTAATGGTTTCTTTACAAATGTCTTTTATACACTAGTCAGTTGTAATCATCACCCAACCCTCCGTCGCTATCCTGGAGAAGTGCGGGGGAATACCGGGGGGAAATGAGCTGAATTTCTGTCCCCGCACTGTTTCAATATACGATGACTTCGTTTTAGCTTTAAAATTGCGGGGTGGGGATATGTCCAACTCAAAGTACAACGTTTAACAGTGGTTCCCTCTAAGCTAAATGTTGTTATAAGGGGTTTCTCTTCCTAATGGTGAAATCTTAACAGAAAAGTTGTTATGATGATTTTGAAAGGTCTTCATGAATCTAATGTACCTGTATAAAAAAGCAAACAGGAAAACATCAAAAGGTGAACACAATTGTGGGCTACCAATTGTCTCTAAATTAATGGAGAAAAGTTTGATCTGTGAAAAATTAATTTGAATGTTTCAATATATAGTACTGCGTATATTAGCAAAGACGATCTATTCGAGGAGTTAAAAGCAAAAAAGAATTTTAAAACCCTAAAAAATAATGGAAGTAATACATATATAACTCTACAAGGAAAGCGTATTGTACAACAAAACAACAGCGTTGGTGACGAACAAGTGTCGAGATCTCAGAGTGCGAATGAGAGAACATAAATCAGATCAAGCAACTTTTCTGTAAAACAACGACGTGAAAGCAACAATGACGTGCCATTTCGGAAAAATAAAAAAGTGATGATTACAACAAGAAAATATTATATACTGGGAAATGATAAGAAGTGAAATGAAAATGACAGACTCTCAGTTGTTATTTCAGACATATGAGAGTTTTTTCTTTTTTTATGCGGAATGGTTTGATGTAACAACCGGCGTAAGATAAGGGTGTCCATTATAAGCAGTATTATTTAAGTTGAATGTTAAAACATTTAGGTATTTATGCGTTTATGATGAACGTGTTTGCGTCTTGTTGTAGGCGGATAATATTGTACTGCCTGCAGAAAACTAATATGATTTACGAGAAAATGTTAATTTTCGTCAAACAGCTGTTGTTAAGCTGATATAATGTGCATTATTGTAAAGTCCATAATAATAATAATAATAATAATAATAAACACTTTATTTCATGAAGGTAACACATTAAGAAATACATATCTTATTTACAATAACAAGATAATGAGATTCACAAATATGTACACACATATCAAAAACACAAACAACAACCATTCAAATTGACAGACGCATACATTAGATTCATTTAAATTGTATATCAAGTAAATATTTTTTCATATTTCTTTTAAAAACATATAGAGACGAAGACTCTTTAATATGTAAAGGTAAATTATTCCATACTTGCATTGCATTATTTTTAAAAGTTCTTTTAACATATTTTGTATTAGATCTTACATGTATTATGTTTCTATTTGTAGTTGATCTAAGTGTATACGTTTCATTTTTCGAGAACACTGATATCTGAAATGTAAGAAGGAGTCAACCCTTGTATAGATTTAAATACTGATAATGCTGTATGATACGAGCATCTATTTTCAAAAGTTAACCAGTTTAATTTAAGGAAAAGCTGTAAAGATGGCGTTTAAACTGGTTTACTCAATATTATCTTTGCTGCGCGTTTCTGCAGCTTATTCACTTTTTCAAATTCAGTTTTATTACAAGTACTCCATATAATACAACAATAATCAAAACAAGGTAAAATATATGCATTGTAAAACATTTCTTTCATTTCAGCGGATAAAAAGTACGATATACGCAATTTGTTTTTGTAATTTATTACAGACGTGCTAATAATTTCTGTGATTTCGTTTGACTTACGCATGTACCTTTTATATTTATATCTAAAGAAGGTTTTGATTTTAATTTATTTTCTGACCCTATTACCATACAAGTGGTCTTTTTCGGATTTATTGCCATGTTATTTAATTTACGCCATTTACTTATATTATCAACATCACATTGCAGAGTTCTCTGAATCACTTCATTTTTTTCATTTGATGCATGCATAGTAGTATCGTCAGCATACATGTCTATGTTAGAGTGTGTTGTACTAAATGGCATATCATTAATGTAGAAAATGAAAAGTAAAGGAACTAATATAGACCCTTGGGGGACCCCTGATTGCACTGTTCAACTATTTAAATGACTATTTCAATTTTTGATAAACTGTGTTCTATTTTCAAGATATGATTTGAAGAGTTTAATGGAGGTGTATGAAAATTTGTACAATTTTAACTTATGCAACAATATGTTGTGATCTACCAAATCAAATGCCTTCTTTAGGTCTATAAATACTGTGCCTATCAAACAGCCCTCATCTAAATCGTTAAGGAAGGATTCTATGAGTCGTATTAGAGCTGTTTGACAAGAATGTTTTTTTCTGAAACCCGACTGACTTTCATGAATGATATTAGTTTCGTATATATAACTGTGTAATTGTGAAGCAATATGCTTTTCAAAAAATTTTGATATGGTTGGCAAAATTGAAATAGGTCTATAATTATTTGGATCTTCTTTTGTAAATTGGAAGTACATATGCTTCTTTAAGTTTATCAGGAAAAATGCCATTTTTAATGGAATTATTTATTATAGAAGCTATAGCTATGCTTAAATAGTCACCACAGGCTTTAAGAATACGCGGCCCAATTCCATCACTTACTGTTGACTTGTTTACATTCAGTTTATCAATAAGTAGTTTTACTTGGAATGGGCTGATTTCATCAATAATAAAAGTATGCCCTTGAAGTTTTTTGTTCAGTTGTTCTTCAAGTGATTTGAAATTTTCTGTTTTGAATTTGGATTTGTTTAGGAAATCAGAAATATTGATAAAATGATTATTGATTGCATTTAAAATATTATTTTTCCCAGTTATTATATTACCATCTATTGTTATGGAATTAGGCAATCTGATATTCCAGTTAGTATTATTGTCGTTAGTATTAATATCTTAAATATTTTTCCAAAGCGTACTCGGGTCTTTCTTATCCTTGACGGCATTATTGAAGTAATTTCTTTTGTGGTGTTTAATTAAATTATTTGTTTTATTCCGCCATAGTTTATATGAATCCCACTTATTAGATTTTTTATAATTATCTCTTTTCAGTCGTGCATTTTTAATTTCTTCATCATACCAATGTGACTGTGTGTCCCTTTTTATACGTTTAATTTTAAATGGTGCATGCTTCACTAGAATATTATTTATCATGTTATAAAACAATTCTATAGCTTCATTTGGATCATTAAATGTCTCTATACAATCAAAATTAGAATCAATTAGATCACGTTGAAACGATTCTGTATCAAATTTAGCAAATCTTTTATATTTTATAGTTTTGTGATTACCTGCATGTGTGCTAGTATTTCCTCTAGTGAAACATATTAAATAATGGTCACTGACACAAATTAGTGATACGAAGTTTTCATTAATTTCATCAAGATTATTTGTGTAAATGTGATCATTTATTGATGAACTTTTTTTGTCACTCTTGTAGGTTTATTAATGATTTGCCTATGATCGTATTTCAGTAAAAGTGATGCCCATTTATTGTTTAACAACCCTTCTTCTGAACTATATTGTATATTAAAATCACCTAGAATGTGCATTTCTAAATTCACCTGATCAGCCATTTCAAGATGTTTTTCATACAGGTCAACCCAAACCTGCTTTGAATCAGGGGAGCTATATATGGTTTACATTTCACAAAATTAATTTCTATCCATATCGATTCAATTTCGGCTGTTTCTAAATCATATCTTCGTTTATAAGGGACATTATCTTTTACATAAACAAGTATACCCCCTCCCTTTTTACCAACTCTGTTTTTTCTCTCAAAACCCGTAGCTTGATATTTCAATGTCAGATACATTCATTAAAAACGTTTCACATAATCCAAATACATGCGCTTTAAATTCGTTTAGAATTATTCGAATTTCATCGAATTTTGGGAGTAAATGCTGTACATTTAAATTCATGATATGAAAACCCTTTTGTTTAAATTTGACTTTTTTTCGTTATCAATATACGAATTATCGCAATGATCATTTTTACTTAACATTATATTAGAAATTCCATCAGAGGTTCTTGAGTTGTCATTAATGCTAGATAGTTTGTTTAAATGATTACAGCTGCTTAACTTACTATAAATAGTAGATCCTAAATTATTTAATCTTTTACATGTACAATGTATATGCAAAAATATATCTTAGTTCAGAGGATAATTGTTCCGAATTACAATTGTTTACAAAGTTGTAATAATCATAAGTACTTTTTTGAATTTACCGAAACGGACTCGGAATTGCTCTGTTCGATAACAAATTTGTTACATATATTACTGTAATTAATATCATTATCAGTATAGTATTTGGTGAACAATCGCATTTACATTGCTCTAAACTGCATTTGCTACAAAGATTTATAAAGAGGCTATCTGTATTAAATTGATTAATAAACTTGTGCCTGTCTGCTTCTTCCTACCATTCACGGTATCTACAGTCAACAGTTTTATGATTGTTCCTACCACATATTTTACACAGAGATCCAAAGATTTTAGGTTTTGTTCGGAATTGCCAATATCCATTTTTCTGTTGTTCTTGACGTGTTGTGTTCTGTGTATCTGTATGATATCTACCAGTCATTGCTTGTTTCGTCTTTACAATAGTCGGCGATTTGTTAATACACCTTACTAACGCACTAGACCCTCTTGTATTATGATGAATTCCATCACGTTGATACATATGTTTCACTACATTTCCATCTCCATACACAAATGTACTATATGAATCTATCAGTGTTGCACCTGTTTCATAAGGCAAAGTTCATCGGAGTTACATCGACGTCTATTCTCGGACATACTGTACATAAATATACCTTAATGCCATGTTGATATAAGTAGTGTCTGTGCCAATATATATTTTTTAACTATGGTGACTGTATTTTAGAATAACCAAACATATGTTTACAATGGTTTATTGTTAACTGAATATTTAGAACTCAGTATTACTAATATATATTTTTTAACTATGGTGACTGTATTTTAGAATAACCAAACATATGTTTACAATGTTTTATTGTTAACTGAATAGTTAGGACTCGTGCAGTATTACTGCAAAAGACCCTTTCTTTAAGACTTGAAACGGGCCTATATGAAACTTGTCAGAAGCAGGTAAAGGATATGTGCATTTTGTAAGGCTGGCATTGAAAATGAAAAACATGTTTTTTTAGTAATGTATGAAACTGACGTACGGAGCTGTTTTATCATACAAGGCTAGTACATGTAGTATAAATGACAATGGAAACAGATAAACTGGTAATCCTTCTTATAAATACAGATATGATAAGAGTGCTTTCAAAACTTGTTGTAATCCTGTAATCATGGTTGTATAGGAAATTATATTTTAATTGCTAGAATATTTAGCTGTAATTTTAGTACAATTTTAAGTATTATTTCTATCATATTGTATTTATGATGTTTTATTATTATTATTATTATTATTATTATTATTATTATTATTATTATTATTAATTTCACTTATGATTGCATGTATCTTAAAATAGTTTACATGTGTAACATGTTAAACATTATGTTTATGTTAAATGTTGTATATATAAGGGGGGTAAGTCTACAATTCATATAGACAATAAGGCCTGTATGTGTTTTGGAGTTACCCCCGCCCCTCTTGTTATTTTTTTATTAGTCCCCTACCGGTTTAACCGGAGGGGACTTTAGGTTTACCCTCCGTCCGTCTGTCCGTCTGTCTGTCTGTCTGTCAGTCCGTCAGTCCGTCCGTCCACAAAACTGGATCCCGCGATAACGCAAAAAGTACTGAAAATATTTTTATGAAACTTGATACATGGATAGATGGCAGTATGGAGATTATGCACGTCTTTTTTTTTTCTTCCTATGTTGAAAATTCTGGTTGCTATGGCAACAAATAGTCTGAAAATATGGCAAATTTAACACATAAACTGGATCCAGTGATAACTCAAAAAGTACTGAAAATATTTTTATGAACCTTGAAATATGGGTAGATGGCAGTCTGGAGATTATGCACATCTTTTTCTTTTCTTCCTATGTTGAAAATTCTGGTTGCTATGGCAACAAATAGCCTGAATTTCAAGATTTCTGATTTAAATTTTTCAGCTTTTTCACTATAATATGTTCTTTATTTCTTAAGGTGTTTACTTCAAACTTTAAATATAAGTTTCTGGTCATCAACCACATCATATGTGACAAGGTTTATAACTCTAGCACAAAAAATATCAGTATTACCTCCCTTGAACTTAGATTTTTTAGGGGAAAATGTTGTCTTTTTTTAAATAACTTCTTTATTTCCTAATGTATCTTCTTCAAACTTCATATATATGTTTCTTATTATCACTCGACATTTTTGAGAAGGTTAAATACTCTAGCAAGACTATTTCCAGAATTATGTCCCCTTGAACTTTAGATTTTTTTCGAGAAACTGGTATTTTCACTCAACTTCTTCATTCCTTATAGGATTTACTTTAAAATCCCTCATCGTAATAATATGACAAGGTTGTATAAACATAATTTCCTTACTAAGCATGGAAACTTAACACATTACTGTGATATAGACATGAGAAGGTTAAATACTCTAGCAAGACTATTTCCAGAATTATGTCCCCCTTGAACTTAGATTTTTTTCGAGAAACTGGTATTTTCACTCCAACTTCTTCATTCCTTATAGGATTTACTTTAAAATCCCTCATCGTAATAATATGACAAGGTTGTATAAACATAATTTCCTTACTAAGCATGGAAACTTAACACATTACTGTGATATAGACAAACTTATTTTATTATGTTTTGTGGTTGATATTTTCAAATACATCCTCAAATTCATTATAAATGGCAATACACAGGAGTGTATGACAATTAAAGAACTTTTTGAGGGACCGGTAGGGGACTACTGTATTGCCCGCAATACTATCAAATGCTTGTTAGAATAGGTATACATTGAAGTCTGTTTTATTAATGCTTTTTATATAAATTTAAATCATATAACGATGAAAATAGAATAAAGAATATATTTATTGTCGTTTTGTATTTTACAAGACAAGACAATGGAGTGAAGAAAAGTAATTTTTGAAGTTTTTGGTAATGGATAACGTTTGTTTCACACATCACATTATCTGTGCCCTTATTTTGTTAGAAATGGATGTTTAAGGTCTGTTACTTTGCCCTATGTTTTAAGTAGTTTTAAAAATTCATCTTCACTGCTTTTTGCACGCAATATCTTGCTCTCACCTTCATGAATTTCATAAATATTTATGACAGACAGTTGTTATCACATTCCTCTTAAACTTAAACGATATATTTTCATAATACTCATTAATGTTGTAAACTCTGTTGTTAATGTATATATGAGTTTTGTAAAGTTTAGTAAAGAAATAAAATATCTGAAACGGGAGGAATATAATTATCGATATTTTGTTGGAAATGTCTCATGAAATACTATTTTTTAGCTCACCTGTCACAAAGTGACAGGGTGAGCTTTTGTGATCGCTTTTCGTCCGGCGTCCGTCCGTCCGTCCGTAAACTTTTACTTTAAATGACATCTCCTCATAAACCACTAAGCCAATTTCATCCAAACTACACAGGAATGTTCCTTTGGTGGTCACCTTTAAAAATTGTTCAAAGAATTTAATTCCATGCAAAACTCGGGTTGCCATGGCAACCGAAAGAAAAAACTTTAAATATCTTCTTTTAGAAAACCATAAGAGCTAGAGCTTAGATATTTGGCATGAAACATCTTCTAGTGAGTGTCTACCAAGTTTGTTCAAATAAAAGCCCTGGGGTCAAAATTGGCCCCGCCCCGGGGGGTCATTGATTTTCCCTATATGCATATAGTAAAAACTTAAAAAATCTTCTTTTAAAGAACCCAAAGAGCTAGAGCTAAGATATTTAGCATGAAACATGTTCTAATGGGTGTCTACCAAGTTTGTTCAAATAAAAGCCCTGGGGTGAAAATTGGCCCCGCCCCAGGGGTCATTGATTTTCCCTATATGCATATAGTAAAAACTTAAAAAATCTTCTTTTTAAAGAACTCAAGAGCTAGAGCTTAGATATTTGCATGAAACATCTTCTAGTGAGTGTCTACCAAGTTTGTTCAAATAAAAGCCCTGGGGTCAAAATTGGCCCCGCCCGGGGGTCATTGATTTTCCCTATATGCATATAGTAAAAACTTAAAAAATCTTCTTTTAAAGAACCCAAAGAGCTAGAGCTAAGATATTTAGCATGAAACATGTTCTAATGGGTGTCTACCAAGTTTGTTCAAATAAAAGCCCTGGGGTGAAAATTGCCCGCCCGGGGGTCATTGATTTTCCCTATATGCATATAGTAAAGACTTAAAAATCTTCTTTTAAAGAACTCAAAGAGCTAGAGCTTAGATATTTGGCATGAAACATCTTCTAGTGAGTGTCTACCAAGTTTGTTCAAATAAAAGCCCTGGGGTGAAAATTGGCCCCGCCCCGGGGGGTCATTGATTTTCCCTATATGCATATAGTAAAAACTTAAAAAATCTTCTTTTAAAGAACTCAAAGAGCTATGGCTAAGATATTGAGCATCAAACATGTTTCTGATAGGTGTCTACCAAGTTTGTTCAAATACAAGCCCAGGGGTCAAAATTGGCCCGCCCGGGGGGTTTATTGATTTTCTTTATATGTGTTTAGCAAAAAACTTTAAATCTTCTTTGAAAAAACCCAAATAGCTAGAGTTTAGATATTAAGCATGAAACATCTTCTAGTAAGTGTCTACAAAGTTTGTTCAAATAAAGCCTGGGGTCAAAACTGGCCCGGCCCCAGGGGTGTCATTGTTTTTTAACTATATGTGTATAGTAAAAACTTTAAAAAAATCTTCTTTTAAAAAAGCCCAATGAGCTAGAGCTTAAATGTTTAGCATGAAACATCTTCTTATGGGTGTCTACCAAGTTTGTGCAAATAAAAGCCCTTGGGTTAAATTGGCTCTGCAACGTTGGGGGGTGGGGGTTGGGGGGGGGGGCCTATATACAGGTGAGCGACCTCAGGGCCATCATGGCCCTCTTGTTCTCCTTTTGAGACAGCTTTTAATTAAGGGAATTTACTCCTAAATGCATCGTAATCATAATTTTAGTTAAGAGTCTTGCAATAAAAAATAGCTTTTAATAATGTTATCTACTTCCCTGTAGTCTGTCCCAGCTGTAATTATTAAAACATATCCCGCACCTGACATCTCTCGTACATTGTCAATTATCTACTTCACTGAAGTTAACAACTCTCATCCTGTCTTGGATATCTCTCACACAGCTGTAGAAATCATATTTTACTCGACTGGCGGCTTGTCCAATATGGTTTCTCAAGCCAAGTATATTCTGGTATTGTGCAGTTAAATCTTAAATAGCCTATGAATATTCAGTGGCTTACTAGTCAATAATTGTTTTCTCTCTTTCCCTCGGTACGTGCACGCCGTAGAAAAGGCACAGGGGATTGGCATTGGAGCTTGGCTGATTTTTTTTTCACCAAGGACCCATCAACTGGTTAAGATCCGATCAAGCGCTGTTGTTCTACATACAGGGCAGGTCATAGGGACCAAACTACCCCTTCGTCGACGGGAAGTTAAGCTTCTATCGCAACCTACGACTCGATGGCCTAAATAAAGCCGAGGGGAGTGACCCTAGAGTGGGTTAGCCCTTATCACAGAGTGGCGGTTTGAAAGTCAGGCCCTTTGCTTTGTACAAACAGCCACTTTCAGGGCTAACCTCTTTCATTATTGTCCAAGGTTACTGTGCATTTAGGTTCTCTTTGGCCGCCGTACAGTGACGCTTAAAATTAATATTCCATGGACATTGCATGCAGACTCAAAATTAACCCTTTAATGATATGACTGACGACAGCGAAAGCTGCATTTTGTGCCTTAACTAGCAGATGGGCTGTCATTTAGCATAGACTACATACATGTACATTGTAAATAGTCTATAATTGTATAGTGCTTGTCTATAACAGCTGTGAACAGAAGTGTGTTAGATATGTTCCTGAATTATGAATAATTATAAAATTACAATGTACAACTCATGACAGTTCCTGTGAAATAAATTTCCCTTGTAATCAATAAATGTATGAATTAACTGACTGAACTATGTAATGAAGTTACAGCAGATCCTGTGAAATATATTTCCTTTTAAAAAAGTTTGTTTTTTTTTTCATGAAAACCCCTGTGAAATTTATATATCACTTGGTTCAAACGTTGAAAGTTCATTGGTTATATTTCATAATTAATAAACTCATTTCAATAATCAAATCAAAATAAATACAATAGAGAAATGTTTTAACAATTTATTAGAAAACAAGACTGATAAACATGACCTACATGTATATTTCTTAAAAAATAATTAAGGGTGCTACCAGTACATGATGTGATAACACATGTCATTATTTAATATTTTCATTACATATATGTATATCTTGATATTTAGAAAATCAATAAAAAAAGTTTAACAAACTGTTTTACTTAACAAATGATTTTAACAATTTCTTGTTTACATTTCATATACATGACCTAGCTGTAACAGATGTTGACACTTCTTTACTCCCAGGATCTATAACTTCAAATTTTATTAGGGTAATAATTAACAGATAAAGTTCTTGTGCCAATTAAAACAGACAAAGCCCTGCGTGGCAATTTTAACATGCTC